CTTTAACTGAAAAGTAGTCAACAGGCAGGGCAATGGGGTCTGGCCATCAGCAATGTAACAACCAATGAAGCTGTAGAGCCAGGCTGCACGGTGTCCTACCTGCAACAATGCAGTGCATGATGCTGATCCATGGCAGATGGCATGCAGAGCCACCCCCAACATTCAGGAGAGGACGTAATGCACTTAATTCCAGATCCACTCTGCCTCCTGCCCTCTACTTTGCTGCTGGAGCAAGTTGGGGCTTTGGTGGAAAGAGGGTACTGTGTTATGGGGGACTTTGATGTCTAAGGAAGTCTTTGATGGGAAGGGTAACGCTTCTGATGTGATGGGAAGACTCTAATGTGATGGGGAGGACTCTCACATGTTGGGGAGGGGGGATCTGAAATGGTGAAGGGGGGACTCTGACATGATGGAAGAACCTCTGATCTGAAGGGTGAGTTCTGATGTGAAGCTAATTTCCTTCAGGAGGTTGTGTGCTTCATCTCAGGCTAGGTTTCCCATTGATGAAAAGTAACATTTATGGCAATGGCTGGCCATCAGCAATGTCACACAACCAATGAAGCTGTAGAGCCAGGCTGCACGGTGTCCTACCTACACCATTGCAGTGCATGATGCTGATCCATGGCAGATGGCATGCAGTGCCACCCCCAACATTCAGGAGAGGACGTATTGCACTTAATTCCAGATTTGCTCTACCTCCTGCCCTCTACTATGCTGCTGGAGCCAGTTAGGGCTTTGTTGGAAAGAGGCTACTGTTTTATGAGGGACTTTGATGTATAGGGAAGTCTTTGATGGGAAGGGTGGGGCTTCTGATGTGATGAGAAGACTCTATTTTGATGGGGAGGACTCTCACATGTTGGGAGGGGGGATATAAAATGGTGGAGGGGGGGACTCTGACATGATGGAAGAACCTCTGATCTGAAGGGTGAATTCTGATGTGAAGCTAATTTCATCCAGGAGGTTGTGTGCATCATCTCAGGCTCAGGTTTCCCATTGATGATAAGTAACATTTAAAGAGTGCAGTGACTAAAAAAAGTTGAAAAACGTTGACTTACAATGGTGGTCTCCAAAAACTGTGGCCTAGGGGCCAGATGCAGCCCTTTGCTTGCTTTTATCTAGCCCTTGGGGCACTGTTTCATCCACTGATACCAACAATGGTGCATAATTCCTCAACTGACACCAATGAACAGGCACAATTCCTCCCAATGACACCAACAATGGGGTCCAACGACAACAATGATGGGCCACAATTCCTCACAATGACATCTACGATTTGGCAAAATTCCTCCCACTGACACCAAGGACAGTGTCAATGTTTTTCCCACTGACCTCAGGACCTTTTCTACTTCCAAAGCCACAGTCTGACCCCCTAAAGGGTCTCCTAAACGTTTGGAGACCCCCGACCTAGACCATAAGGATTTTCTTGGCTCTATTGCTTAGTGGTCAAATAGTATGCTTCTAGCTTAATAGAACTATCAGAAGTCATCTTCAAGCTGCAATTACCCCTTTTTATATTTTTATTTTTTAGTTACTAAATTAAGCAATCACCGAGTCTGGCCAAAACATCCTTCCAAAATAATTTACAGCTTTATGATATCACTCCAGGGATAAATCGGCCCGTAGTTGGAATATAAAAGCCCTTAAGCCCTCCATTATACCCCTCAGCTGTGGGTTTACATTGTGAACAATCTCAGTTCTCATTTGTCCTTCTTCCCGGCATTATAAACTGTGTGTGTGTGGAGAGCTTTACTCAAAAATCCATAAGCTGAAGACTAATAACGCCTTCATATTTTTTCGGCTGGTAAAATTTACATTCGAGAGACTGCTGTGCATTGTTGTAACGGCGCCGAGTGACTCAGTCCGTGTTATGACATGAAAATGTATTTTCTTTTCAGAACTCGCAGCTATTACAAGCGAAAATATTAACAGTCTAACTAAACCAAAGAGCTCTGGAAACTCCAGAAATCAATTTGTCTGAACTGCAAATAAGAGGAGTCTGCGAGCTCGGAATACAATAGCCAAAGACGGAATAGTAGGGTGATTTGACTTGCAGGCTTATTCATTCAGCCATAGGACAGAGTGGAGTTCCTTGCAGCCAAGGACAACTTTAGGTGTGTGGGACTTGCGTGGCTGTCCAGGTCAGTAATATATGACCCCACCCCAAAATGTGAGACTTCAGATTTGTTGAGAAAGTAGAACAAAATGAAAAAGGCCTCTCTCAGCTATAATGCATAGTAAAATCTTCTTAGAATAGAAAGTACTCACATATCTCAAATGTAACAGAATTATTCCTCATTTCGGGATAGTAGGTGTCAGTGGACAACTCATGGGGCCCCCGGGCAATAGGGGATCATGGGGCCCCTGTGTCCTTGTCCAAACTCAAAAAAGCCTATGAAAAAGGTACCAGGGGCATCTCATGGGGCCCCCTACTGACCCCGGGCCCTCGGGCAGTGCCCAAGTTTCCAAATGGTCAGTCCGCCCCTGGTCAGTGGAATAATGAAAATCATTCCTCCTCATGCCCAATGGCCAACAGTACATCAACGGAAGCATACAAACCATGGGTTCTATAGAGTAGAGCTCGGGGCCCAACAAGAAAAGTATGAATCAGAAGGTTATCTTGAGAAGGGACTAAAGGAACCAAAAAGCCTTCCACTGATCCATCAAATAGCACATTAGCACCTTCTTACAGTATAAGAGGTGTGTCAGAGCTTCCCAAAGGAACCCTCGGAAAGTCCTGTTCAGGGTTTATAGATCTCCCAGGTTCCTTACCTATACCTATAGGAAACTCTGATATGAGGTCCAGTGCAGGGTTTACCTCTCTCTCCATGGGCAATTAAATCCACCTGGGACTGTAGCCAGACCTCTCAGCCTGGGGATCAGACAAGTCCTGTCTGGAAAGCTGAAATGTTGGTGGAAACTGATTAGCTATGTATGGTGTGGCTGAAAAGCGGTAGGCTTGATCAATCTGGTAGTTAGGATCTACTTTACTGTGTAGTGAGTGCTAGGTTTTTTTTTTGTTTGATATTTTCCTGCCCTGTTAATTTTGGTTAAACACTGTACAGCACTTTGTATATAGTCTTTTGTAAATAGCACTAATAAACACCTTCACTGTTTGCCACTAATCTCACTGGATTTGGTATCTGTGTTTGAAAGACTGCTTACCCCAGGAAGCATATATCCCAGCTGCCTATCCCCAGCTCATAGAGGTATTCACATGTCTAATTCTAACAGATATATCAAAAATTTGAAGATTATTACTCATTTAAAGATAGTGGGTGGAACCATGCAAATCATTTCTTAATGCCCCATGGCCAATTGCACATCCATGGAAGCATAGAAACCAAGGGTTCTATAAAGTAGTGCTTGGGGATTAACACGAAAGTATGACTCTAAGGCTATCATGAGAAGGGACCAAAGGAACTGTAAAGCCTTCCACTGATCTAGCGAATAGCACATAAAAGTCTTACTAGGAAAGTATAAGAAGGTATTCTCATGTCTTATTCCAACAAATATCTCCAAAACAAGAGGACTATTCCTCATTTCAAGATAGTGGGTGGAGCCAAACAAATCTTTCCACAATGACCCATGGCCAACTGTACATCCATGGAAGCATGGAAACCATGACTTCTATATGGAGTAATTCATTGGACCCAACAAGAAAGTATGACCCAGAAGGTTATCAGGAGGAGGAAATAAAGGAACCAATAAAACTTCTACTAATCCAAAGAACAGAAAATTAGGGCCTTCTTTGGACAGTATAGGAAGGTATTCACATGTCGTATACCAAGACATACTGTATTTCAAAATAAAAGGATTATTTCTACTTTAACCATTAGCCGCCCGGCCAATGGCCGTTTGGCGGCTTCAAATGTGTCTCTGCACTCCGGGTGCACGCCATTTGGCGTGCTCCTGCACATGCGCAGTTTGCGCAAATGCAGAGCGGCGCAGCAGTGCGATCTGTCACCGGCCGCGCACCTCGGACACGGCCGATGACAGATCCGAGTACCGGCTCCCGTTGCTGGTACCATGTGACCTGCTGTGACCAATCACAGCAGGTCACATGACAGTTGTATACAATGGATGGCTTCATTCATGATGCCATCCATTGTATACTAGTGCCTAGCTGTGAATGGTCACAGCTAATCACATGCACATGTCATGTGATTAGCTGTGACCAAATCACAGCTAAGCACAAAAAAAAAAAAAAAAAAAAAAAAAAAAGCTGAATGAATCGATTTCATTCAGGTAAATGCTTGCTTATAGCAAAGTAATTCTTTGCTATAAGCAAATTGTGTAAAAAAAAAAAAAAAAAAAAAAAAAATACTGATCACTTCCCCAAAGTAGTACAATGTACTACTTTGGTCATAGTAAAATATGAAAAAAACCCCAAAAAAAAAAAATGTAATAAAAAATTAAATATAATAGAACAAAAAAAAAAAATATATATATATTTTTTTTTCATACTGTCACCAGTCAGTGTCCCTGTTCACCGCCATGCCAGTTATATGATGATGCTGTACTGCACTGGTGACAGTATGTAAAATAAAAATAGTGAAAATAATTTTTTTAATTTTTTCATTTTCCGAAAAATTATGACAAAAAAATACAACTTCAAAAAACTCGCCATTCCTCTTATGAAGTACATCGGACTGTCTATTCTGCAAAAAGTGGTCATTTGGGGGATATCTGTACTGTCCTGACATTTGGGGGATATCTGTACTGTCCTGACATTTGGGGGATATCTGTACCGTCCTGACATTTGGGGGATATCTGTCCTGTTCTGACATTTGGGGGATATCTGTACTGTTCTGACATTTGAGGGATATCTGTACTGTTCTGACATTTGGGGGATATCTGTACTGTCTGACATTTGGGGGGATATCTGTACTGTCCTGACATTTGGGGGATATCTGTACTGTTCTGACATTTGAGGGATATCTGTCCTGTTCTGACATTTGGGGGATATCTGTACTGTCCTGACATTTGAGGGATATCTGTACTGTCCTGACATTTGGGGGATATCTGTACTGTCCTGACATTTGGGGGATATCTGTACTGTTCTGACATTTGGGGGATATCTGTACTGTTCGGACATTTGGGAGATATCTGTACTGTTCTGACATTTGGGGGATATCTGTCCTGTCCTGACATTTGGGGGATATCTGTACTGTTCTGACATTTGGGGGATATCTGTACTGTCCTGACATTTGGGGGATATCTATACTGTCCTGACATTTGGGGGATATCTGTACTGTTCTGACATTTGGGGGATATCTGTACTGTTCTGACATTCTTGGACCTCAAGAAATTAGATTGGCCGTCAGTACTTCAGGATTGATCAATACTCAGATCTATACCATAGTTTTGTGAACGCTATAACTTTCCTACAAACTAAATAATACATCCTAATTTGGGTTATTTTCACCAAAGACATGTAGCAGAATACATCTCGGCCTAAATTTATGAAGAACAATTATTTATTTGCAAACTTTTATAACAGAAACAAAGAAAAACTTTTTTTTTTCAAAATTTTTGGTCTTTTTTTGTTAATTTTGCACAAAAAATAAAAAGCCCCGGCGGTGATTAAATACCACCAAAAGAAAGCTCTAGTTGTGTGAAGAAAATGATAAAATTTTAGTTTGGGTACAATGTTGTATGACCGCGCAATTGTCATTCAAAGTGTGAGAGTGCTGAAACGTGAAAAATGGCCTGGGCAGGAAGGTGTAAAATTGCACGGTATTGAAACGGTTAAGGAAATCATTTATTTATGCCCCACGGCAAACTGTACATCCAAATTGTTGGAACAGATACAGCCTTATATTATAGTAATTTTTTCCAAACTGCATACAGATGTTATGGGTTTGTTGGCCATAGTCAGTACAGTGCATCATAGAAACCATGGTTTCAATAAAGTAGGACTTGGGTCTCAATTAAAAAGTATTAAATTGAAGATCATTGTAAGTTTAGGTATGACATTTTTACATTTACATAAATTGGCCCGGTTTTTGAACCAATGTAAGTATGTACATGCCATACTCGTAGGCAGAGGCGTCCCTAGAGTTGGTGTCACCCGGTGCGGTAACACTTGGTGACACCCCCTCCAACGATCCCCGCAGAATGGATCGGATCTGCAGAATGAGCATAATGGATCGGACTCTGATCCATTATGTTCAATCCGCAGATCCGATCCATCCTGCGGGGATCGTCGGCTTTCTTTACAACTTACCTTTTCTTGGAGCGGGTCCGGGACAACTGCACATGTCCTGGTTTCAGGCATGATCAATCGATGATAGCAGTAGTTCTATCATCGATTGATCGTGCCTGAAACCGGGACATGTGCAGTTGCTTCAGGGGGACATATCTACATGGGAGACACATCTTGCCGATATAAGGGGTGACACCAGCCTATACGGGGTGACACCGGACCGGTGTTGAGCCGGTCCGGTGTCACTCGGTGCGGACCGCACCCCCCCCCGCACCTGCCTCGGGACACCACTGCTCGTAGGATCCCTGTGGAAGCTGTAAATCACTGTAGTAGGCACTGCCACTACAGTGATCTCCACTAGCTTTTGGGTCCCTTGTAATTTCTAGACTGAGATGCTGGCTTAGAGATGAGACAATCATATAAATCCTGGTGCAAGTGTAGTTCTTGGTCATGTTCACAGATGTCTGACACAGATCAACCCCCTGTTGCAGCCTCTCACCTTGCAACTTGTTTCAGTGTTGCAATCACTAGAGAAGAGGAAACGGAGGAAATGCTCCCTCCTACCTGCAGCAGATTTATGACATCAAGAAAAGGGACTAGGCTGGAGCTAAAGGATTGCTTTTTAATGACAGAAGGTGGAGTTTTTTGGGAACTATGTTACTGTTGTTTTATAATGAGACACATCAGCAATTCATGCAGACTTGTAAAGTTAATGAAAGGTCCACTTTAAAGTGCCAACATCAGATAAAGGGCTTGTAAGGTCCATAGGTTCTTTTACCGCCGACTCTGCGCCATTAATTTTTACTGGTCATCTTTTACTTGTAAAAGTCTCTGTTGCTAATCGTGCTTTCTATAATTAATGTGGGGCTTATCATTCATATTAAAAACAAGCTAGGATGCCATTACACGTAGCTGACAAGGCATCTGGGAATGTCTTGCCCTAGAATGTGCTGTATATCGTGCGTCGAGAACTTAGTTTTTTTTTAACAAAGTGCCAACATTTTTTTAAATAGAATTTTTTGAAACATTGGCAGTTTCGGATGGCTAGCTTAGTAAAAAGATGTTTTTTTCATCCTGTGCGCTTAGTACGGTTGACTGGTGCATTTTATGCCCTAGTCACGATGCTACAAATTTACTGATGATGTTCCAAAGGGTATTTGATGGGCCTCATTGGGTTTTTACTGGCAGACAGGCAATCTGTTCCACCCTGGTTGTGTTGCTCACCCTGGAAATTTGCACTCGTACCGTTGGGCTATTCTGGCACTGGATTAGCATAGTAATTATGTATGCAGAAAGGATTGCTTGCCTGGTTGCATGATAACAAGCTGTTCCATTTACTGTTCACATCCCAACCTTGGAATGAGCTGTTGACACTGGAAAATCTTGATCAGTGTCTGCAACAAATTAATTTTGTAAAGAAAAAATATTATGATTTGGGAATTTTCCAAAAAGTTTTGTAAATTATTTTTTTTTTAAATTTATTTTGTACTTACTTAGAAGCTTTGTTTTATACATTTTTCAAGGTCAACCTACGAAGTTTCTCCTTACCTCCTGACAATCTGACAAAGAATCTTTGGAAATAAAAAATCAGTTCCTAACCTGCCATGCATAAATAAGCGGTACTACATCCCAAAATGCTGTATGAATAGAAACCACAAAGGGAAAAAAAAAGGAACTAGGGACTTTAGAGTACCAAAGTATATGACAAAAAGTGGTATAAAAATATATATCAAGTCTGAAATAAATACAAAATTCAATGTTTGTATTTATTTCAGGCTTGATCTCAGAGAAATAATTGATATCCCCCGAGGAAGACTTATAAGTTGAAACGCGTTGGTGTTTTTTTCGGAGTATTTTGAAGCAATACATGTATATGACCTCCACATTTTATGTGCAGCATGTAACATTTTTCTCCTGTATGCTTTTATATAATATGTATATGTTGGGGTATGCTAGCCTTTGAAGGCTCTTATCATTTTGTATAAATAAAATTTTGATATATTTTTATACCACTTTTTGTCATATACTTTGTTACTTTAAAGTTTCTATTTATCTAACAAAGGTTCTTTTTCTTATATTACTCAAAACAAAAACAAAAAAAAAAATTGGCTGTTTTAAGTTTCTATTCATCACACCACCTAAGTGGTCACCAGGTGATCTATTCTTGGGTGTGGAGTTAGGAGGTATGAATAAGCGCATATTGCGTGAAACGCGTTAACATCTGTGTTCCCTGCCTGCTTTGAGCTGCAATGTTTTGTATTATGCATTTTCTTCATTAAAGTAGAACTATAGGCAAAATTTCCTTTTCATTTTGGATAGAGTAAAGGAAGGGTTACAGCCCCTATCAATTTTTTTCTTTGCCCCATAGCGGAGATTTTCCTTCACTTCCTGTCCCATAGCCAAATTGGAAGTGAGAGAAAATCTCTGCAAAATAAGGAAATTCCTTGGGGACCCCCAGGTTATCAGAACCAGTGTCCCCACTGGAAGATTTCCCGTTATTACTTCTCTGGGGACAACCCAAAATTTAGGATTTTCTTTAACCACTTGTCCTCCAGAGGATTCACCCCCCTTTCCTGACCAGGCTATTTTTTGCGATACGGCGCTGTGTTATTTTAACTGACAATTGCGCGGTCATGCAACGCTGCACCCAAATGAAATTCATGTCTTTTTTTCCCCCACAAATAGAGCTATCTTTCAGTGGTATTTGATTGCCTCTGCGGTTTTTATTTTTTGTGCTATAAACAAAAAAAGACCGACAATGTTGGGGAAAAAAAAAAAAACAATATTTTGACTTTTTGCTATTAAACATGTCCAGTAAAAAAATAAAAAAAATCAAATTTTGTCATAAATGTAGACCAAAATGTATTCTGCTCCATGTCTTTGCTAAAAACAAATCCCAATACGTGTAAATGAATTGGTTTACGTGAAAGTTATACTGTCTACAAATGGCGGTATATATACTGGAAATGTTTTTTTCAATATACTAGTATTGGTGGCGATCAGCGACTTATAGTGGAACTGTGGGACTGCGGCAGGCATTCTGACACTGGGGGGGAACTGACTTGGTGTCACTGACATCCCCTGTGACATTAATACAGTGATCAGTGCTAATAAAAAGCACTGACACTGTACTAATGGCACTGGGCAGGAAGGGGGTAACATCTGAGGTGATCAATTGTAATACTCTTTTGAAAAATAATAAAAATCAATGTAAAATAAATCAAATATATAACTAAAGGCAAACTTTTTTTTGTAGTTTTGGAAAGAGTGCAGAGGGAGTAGAACCCCCTGGCAGTTTTTATTACTGTCTGTTCCCCCATTAAGTAGATTCACCCTCTATACTTGTCCTGTCTACCATTATCAGGGTTAACTGTCTGCTGTTCTACTGTGTAAGCACATTGCTATGTATTGCTCTGCTATACAAAGCAGCATGCTGGAGCTGACAGGGGAGAGATCTGTATTGTTTACATACAGACCTATCCCCTGGCAACGATACTCGGTGATCGCCGGGTGCTGGCGGGGAATCACCGGCCAGGACCCGGTGATAAACAACTGAGGCCGCCAATTACGGCATGGATAGGGCACGCGTGCCCCCTACCCAGAATTGCAGAAAAAAAAAAAAAAAAAATATATATATATATAACAGTATTTCTGTTATAGGGCGGCGGGCAAGCAGTTAACTTTCATTTTCAGCGACATGTTCCACGACGGCAGAGGAACTCATAATTCTCAATGGTTGTGGTGGTATCATTTGCTGATGGCTCTTGCTTTCAATAGTTTATTTCCTCCAGTTGTTTAACTCCTTCACACCACCTCCAGGCAGTTTAAGCGGACACAAGGGGTGAGTATACCTGCACCGATTCTCTGGAAAAAAGCCCTGCTCATGTCTTATATGGCTGACTCTGGTTTTGGTATGGGATGTCCAAGAAGCCTACAGTCTGGGGTTCACCAACATTTGGCCATATGCTATATGTCAGTTCTTCTGTTTTTACAGTCAATGTTCTGCTGTTTTCAGGAACCAAATAAGGATCCCGCTATGTAGTCAGTTGAGACGTTAATAGGACAATTATTTAAATAAGCACTCTAGCTCTTTTGTTTTTGCAACCGGCGACGCCATTACACGCGGCCTAATTGTTTTTTTTTTCATCGGCGCGGCTGATTGATGCTAATAAAGTGAGTGTAAT